AGACATTCTACTGCCAAGACATGAAAGAAACCTTCTTTCTTATATCTGGAGTATTCTGCGTTCTTCTTGAACCACTCCACAAACTTCCTGGTTGGTGTGCAGTTTAAAGCTTTTATAAATTCAGTCAGATGCTCAGTGTACTGCTTCACAAAAGAAGCAAAGCCATGGGGGTTTCGATTCGATCAAAAGACCTCTGCCTGTTGAGAAATAGGAGATGGGCAAAATGAATCCTCTTCCATGGGAATGCCATCCCAACCCACCATTTCAGAACTCTGCACTGTTCCTCCTGTGTTCCATGCAGACGTCGTAACAATTCCTTGCTTGCTTTCCTCTTGAACTATTTTATGCCACACTCTGTTTGTCCCTGCCAAACTGGTACTTCATATTTGCTGGTACATTTTATGCTGGATATGCTGCTCACCAGTCACTGCTCTTCCAAAAGTACATATTCCTCCACTGATACAAATGGGCAGTGATCACTCCTCCATAACAAAACATGTGTGCATGTGTGTTTCAGTGTCAAAATGAACTAGGACGGTTATTCTAAAGGCAACGATCAGTCTGAACTTTGCAGCTGATGGCTGCAACAGTGGCTAAACAAGCCAAAAGGTGACAGCATGTTTTTCACGAAATTACTGGTTGAATATTACGTTTCAGGTCTCGGCTTCCACCAAGAGATGCTCTTCCTTTTTAATTTGAAAGCATGGGAGCTCCTGGACCCTCTGAGATCATGGGCTGGAGGCTACAACCCCCCCTTCCTATGATTTAAGCTAGTCGTGCTCATATTTCAGCATTTTGTCACAGATCTCAGCTGCAGTTCGTCTCTAAAAGGTTTATTGTCAAGTAGCTTCCAAACAGGGCTTCGTTGTTAGCCTAGCTCTTCCATCAACCCCTGTGGAAGGAAGTGTCCTGCAAGAAAGTTTACATGAAGCCCTATTGATAGTAGTGTCAATATATCTGCCTGCAAAGTTGACCCTACCGTTAAGACGAGGCAGCTGCCCCAGGGCAGCAGATACTGGATTCCATGAGAGGGCAGAAAACGATTAGCTACTTACTTTATTCCTCTGCTTTGACCTCCAGGAAGGGGGAAGGTGTTTGTGGGATTTTCTGCCTTGTGTTGCAAAATGTCACATTTTGGATATGCACAAGATGACTGGGGTGAATGAGAGGACACCATTTGCTTCTCTGCTTCAGGCAGAAAAGTGGCCTGGCCAGCTTTGCCTGCTCAGCATGAATACAATCTCCTGCTTCAGAGATGAACACCATGACCTTTTGAGGTCACCTCACTCTAGAGAGGAACAGGGCCCATGTTAGGCCGCAGAATACCACGGAAGCTTCAACAGAATCTTCCATTGACACAATGAGAGCGCAGGGGTGGCAAACACCCCCCCCCATCATCCATTCCGGCTTAAGGATCAGCTTGACGACCGGCACTCCTTGTATATTTCAGCCTGTACTATCTGGTTGTTCCTTATTCTTCACAGCTTTACGCTCTGTGATACACTCCACTGCGTTAGTCTCCACTTCCCTTGCAGCATTATGGTTCTCTTTTTTTTATACAGCTTTCTTTGAGCTGAGCCCTGCTGTCCCCTTCTGTTCAGTCGACTTCTTCTTCCCTCATTTCTTCCTGGTTTACAGAAAAGCTGACCTTCCTGGGTGTTGTGCACTAAAGCAAAGTGTGCTGATTGTTGTAGGTTTTTCAGGCTGTTTGACCGTGTTCTGAGGGTTTTTCTTCCTAACTTTTTGCCAGTCTCTGTGGCTGGCATCTTCAGAGAAGAGGAGTCAGAACTCTATTTGTGCTCTGGTGCAGTTTGTGGGATACTGCATAGTTATAGCTGCGGGATCAGCTTTTGTCCTTTTCAGGAGATTGGTGATTATGATGATCAGCGTGTTTTTTGTTGTGGGTGTATTGATAGGGGGAGGGGAGATGATCTGTCACTGTGATTGATGGGTATTGTTAGCTGGTCTTTTGTGTGCAGTGATCACCAGTCCTTGTGGCTGGGTAGAGTTCGTTGACCTTTTGCTGGTGAAACGTTAGGAAGAAAAACCCTGAGAACATGGCCAAACAGCTTGAAAAACCTACAACAACCGTTGGATCCTGGCCATGAAAGCCTTTGAGAATACAAAGTCTGCTGCTTATAACCTGACCCATAGCACTTGAAGCTCTCTCTGGGTGGTTTATAATGTACTGTAATTATGAAGGCTACACATTACCCTCACCTCACCCCAAAGCGAGCTGGGTACTCCATTCACCAACTTCAGAAGAATGGAAGGCTGAGTCAGGATTGAACTCAGGTGGTGAGCAAAGTCTTCACTGCAGTACTTAGATTAGGCATCCTTCAGTCTATGGTAACGTACTTCAGCACTGCAGTTGAACCACTGTGCCATAAGGCGCCAAAGGAAGAGTCTTTCTCACTTCATGGAAAGCTTCCAATATTTATGGATATAAATCCGCATTCATTAAAAAATGTACTCCTTGCCTGTGAGATGGCAAGAAGTTCTGTATTCTCAAAGAGGGTTTTGGCATCTGCAAAGCCGATCACTTTTTGTGCAAACTGCAAGATCTCTTTTTACATAAGTTGCTATACCTGCTGCCTGGCTGTCCATCCAGCCTTTTTAAAAAAGACATCAGATGGGTGGTGTTTTTCTTTTTGATAAATCAGGAAACTGTCAGTGCTTTATTTCACATCAAGGAAAAAGCATACATCTCCTCTTACATTACTGTGAGCTGCCTTGAGTCCCAATAAAACCAATAAAATAAAAAAATTATACTACAAGGTACACATTTGTTTCAGTAAGTGCCTGAGAAATCAGAAGTTATGCTCATCTTCCATTAACAAGGTAAAGGTAAAGGTTCCCCTTGACATTTTTTAGTCCAGTCGTGTCGGACTCTAGGGGGCAGCGCCACCACGTGGTCATCTTCCATTAACAAAGTACACAACAAAAGCAGACTAATTTGTTAAATTGGTATTGAGGTTAAATTGCTTTGGAATAAACAGTCTGACTTTTCCTCTAAATGTACTTCTGCTTGTAATTGTGTGCTAAATGTATGGTCTAACTGGCTGTTAAGAAGCTCATGTGTACAACATATGTTTGTTTGTTCAGTCGTTTAGTCGTATCCGACTCTTCGTGACCCCATGGACCTGAGCACGCCAGGCCCTCCTATCCTCCACCGCCTCCCGGAGTTGTGTCAAATTCATGTTGGTTGCTTCGATGACACTGTCCAACCATCTCATCCTCGGTCGTCCCCTTCTCCTCTTGCCTTCACACTTTCCCAACATCAAAGTCTTTTCCAAGGAGTCTTTTCTTCTCATGAGATGGCCAAAGTACTGGAGCCTCAGCTTCAGGATCTGTCCTTCCAATGAGCACTCAGGGTTGATTTCCTTTAGAATTGATAGGTTTGTTCTCTTTGCAGTCCAGGGAACTCTCAAGAGCCTCCTCCAGCACCACAATTCAAAGGCCTCAATTCTTCGGCGGTCAGCTTTCTTTATGGTCCAGCTCTCACTTCCATACAACCTTATGTTCTGTACAACATAAGGTTACCCTAATCTTTGAGTCTTTGTGCCAGTTTGCCAGAAGGGGGAGTTGTTGCCTCAATGTGATCTTTTCCAAAATACTGTGTTTCCCCCAAAATAAAACTGGTTCTTATACTCTATTAAGTTTTGCCTGAAAAAACCCATTAGGGCTTATTTTCAAGGGATGTTTTAACAGGGTATTAGGAATGGGTGTATATTTTTTTTCTGTTCACTATTAGCTAAAAATATATCAGAATTCCCCACAAACCTCCCCCCTCCCGCAGGATATTGAAAACTTGAGATTTAGAAGATCTGAAAGGGTGTGTGTGAAATCTGACTATACGTATACACACAGGACTTTGAGAGCTTAAGTCTGAGAAGTATGGCTTTCAACCTTTGTGTATCCCAGCATGCTTGTTCTGAATGAGGGCTATCATCTTTCTTTTAAAAAAATCATTTTCCTGAAAGTGTCCTCATCTTTAACACTTTTCTGACAGGCAAATATTAAATGGTCATCTCCATGCTGCAGCTGGAATACTCTCATTGAATGAATTTGGCTGGTATAAAAGAGGAGATGATGCCCTTTCTGAACAATTATCAAAATTTGCAAATTTCTTCATATTTGAACTTGTACTTTTTTTTACAAAATTAAATGTGAGAGACAGGAAAAAATGGCAAGCCTATTGTATTTTTGATTTTCAGTCTGCTTGATATCAATGACACAAATAACTAATTTAGAGACTCTATATATGTGAAAAGCTGCACCTTACACCAGGATCCACAATATTGGGTCCTGATTAGACCTGGGGACGAATAAAAAAAGGATTGTAATATTCATCAGAAATCGCTGTTTTGTTAAATATTCATTCCTTCATATTCGTGGGTTCCAGAGACCCCGACGAATATGAAGGGATGAATATTTTTATTCATCCCCACCATGGGAAAACAGGGAAGGCAGGGGGCATGGAGGGGCAGGGCATGGCGGGGGGGGGGGGTCAGTGTTTTTTTTTTAGTAACCCCCCATGAATTGATGAATAAATTAGTGCTTCATCAGTTCATGGGGGGGAAGCTTCGTGCTTCATGATTCATCAGCTTTGACGACTCACGAAGCACGACAACTCGCCAAAATGGTGAGTCGTCCCGATCTCTAGTCCTGATTCTGAATGTTGTATAGAATTCTTAGTGAGCTGTACAGCCTTCTGCACAATAAGGCAAGCTACCAGGAATAAATTTATTTTTTTCTACACAACAGTTATAGCTCATCTCTCTTCTACAGTGTAGATGTTGGAGGAATCTTGTATTATTTGAGATCCGTATCCTTATTTAAAAAAGCACAGAACCTTTCTAAGCAATGTGTTTTGCCCATAAATTCTCCCCTTCTTTTTCCCCTCAACATAAAACAATTGCAGAGAATGAAAGTAAAATAAAAAAGGGCACAGATACTAAAATAAATCCCTTTGAACACAACATCATTTATTGTGGCGTACAGCAAATTAAATCAGCCTCTCTGGTTTGCGCCGAAAACACGGAAAAGCAAAAGAGTGACATTTCAAACGGGAGATCTCAGTGCAGGCTGCAGTTAGATATTAAAGCCGGGGAGCACGCCTTCTCTTGGAGTCCTCTTTCGGTCATATCTCTAAAAGTGCCAAAACAAAAATGAAGGTGAAATAAGTTTGCTCAGGAAGAGAGAGGTTGTAGAGTTTCACCTGCAGCTATTGAACTGGGGCAGTGCATTATTTTCAGATATTTTCATTTACATATACCGTATTATCAAATTAAAAGACTAGTGAGAAATCTTCATTCATCAAGGTACCAATAAAGGACACCCTGACACTCATCCAGCAAATCTTTCCAGAAGACATCAAGGCCCTCTTCCAACACTGCCTAATGACCAGCTATTTCCAGTGGGATAATGAATTCTATGAACAGACAGATGGAGTGGCCATGGGCAGCCCCCTCAGCCCGGTTATAGCAAACTTCTACATGGAACATTTCAAAAAACAGGCCCTGGCTTCATGGATGACACCTTCGCAATGTGGAACCACAGTGAAGAAAAATTGGAAGAATTTCTCAACCATCTCAACAGCATCCACCCAAATAAAAAATTCACAATGGGAAAAGAAATAGAGGGCCAACTCCTATTCTTAGATGTCATGATCATATGCAAAACTGACCTCCTATTGGAACACAAGGTCTACAGAAAACGCACCCACACAGACCGGTACCTACACAAAAACCCCAACCACAGCCCACAGCAAAAAAATGAGGCATAATCAAAACACTGGTAGACTATGCAAAACAGAACTGTGCAGCTCAATTTCTCAGCACCGAACTCAACTATCTGAATTGGGCCCTACAGACAAATGGCTACTCCAAGAATGAAATCACAAGATCCATCAAACCAAGAAAACAACCCTAAACTGAAGAGGAAAAACAACCACCCACAAATAAAGTATTCCTGCCATACATCGAAGGGGTCACAGATTGCATGGGGAAACTTTTGAAAAACACACACCTACAAACAGTATTCAAGCTCACCACAAAAATACAACAAATGTTACAGTCAGAAAAGGATAAAAGGCAACCCCTCACCACTACAGGAGTATACTGGATACCTTGCAGTTGTGACCATATATATTGGAACCACAAAATGCAGCATCCACACCAGAATCAAAGAACATGAGAGACACTGCAGACTAAAACAACCAAAAAAAATCGGTAGTAGCTGAATATGCCCTAAAACAAGCTGGACATGAAATTATATTTCAAAAAAAATTTATTTATTTATTTATTTATTTATTTATTTATTTATTTAATTTCTATCCCGCCTATCTGGTCATATTAGACCACTCTAGGCGGCTTACAGTAAAAACAACAATGTAATTTTAAGACTTTAGGAAGAAAAACCTTAAGAACACGGCCAAACAGCCGAAAACCCACAACAACCATCGGATCTGACCATGAAAGCCTTTGAGAATACAATCTTCATTCACCCTACAGCCATCCAGATGTTTGCTAGAATCTCGTTCCCATTTGCACTTATCCATCTGGCTGCTGAGGAGGGGGAGCTTACCATTTGCAGGGCCATTGGTTCTCCAGCACTCTCTTAGGACAGGAGCAGAGAAGGTGGCTGCTTTATTAACTAGACCTGGAGCTGCTGAATTTGGAGGGATGCTATGTTAACTATCTTATGTATGTATGTATGTATGTATGTATGTATGTATGTATGTATGTATGTATGTATGTATGTATGTATGTGTGTGTGTGTGTGTGTGTGTGTGTGTGTGTGTGTGGGTAGGTAGGTAGGTAGGTAGGTAGGTAGGTAGGTAGGTAGGTAGGTAGGTAGGTAGGTAGGTAGGTAGGTAGGTAGGTATGATTCGATTTATACCCCGCCCCTCTAGACAGAGTCTACTTGGGGCGGCTTACAAAGAAGAATAAATTATTATAAAATACAATCAAATAAAATCATCAAAGTATATGTAAATCAATCACATAATTATATGAGTAAATTAGAAGATCAAGATGGAAAAAAAAAGCTAAAGAAAAAAGAAAATCAGGAGTTGACTGGAGGGAAGGCCGGCCTGAAGAGCCAGGTCTTTAAATGACTCTTAAAAACACCCAACGAGGGAGCCAGGGTGATTTCCGGCGGCAAGGTGGTCCATAGTCAAGGGGCCACAGCCGAGAAGGCCCGGTTTCTTGTTCTTTCTTTCCTCTCTCATTGTCAGGCCCCTCAGCCGTCTTTCCTGGCTAAAACGATTGACTCGGGTAGATAGATCTAGGGGGGAAAAGGTGCTCCACCATGTATTGAGGTCCTGAACCATTTAGGGCTTTATAAGTTATCATTAACAACATCAAGCGCTTTTCAAACAGCGAATCTGGTGTCTGGACAGTTTCTTTCCTTAGACCAGCTCTTCCTTGGATCATGCACATGGCTGACCACTCAGTATGAACCTGACTGTTCAAGGTAGCTCTGAATTAGCTGCAAACAGGGACCTTCTCAGGGGCTGCCCCCAGGCTTTGGAATGTGCTGCCCCATGTAACCAGGTTGTCCCCCTCCCTCTTGTCCTTCTGCCAACATGCAAAGACTTGCCTTTTCAGGCAGACTTTTAAGCAGTAAGTTGGATGTCAGGAATACAATAGTTATTGAACTTAGAGATTTTTAAATATTTTAAAAATTGCTTTTAATTTGTGGTCTTAACATCGATATGTACATGTTTAATTGTTTTTTTTAAATATAGTTTGTATCTCATTTTAAAATGTGTGATTGTTGTATAGTTTTAATTGTTGTAAGCTGCCTCGGTTCTCTATGGGGAGAAAGGCAGCCTATACATAAAATAATAATAATAATAAAATTACCAACAGAGTGGTGTAAAATGAAAGTGGCTGGAATGGGCAGCAAATCCATCAGCAGTCCCCTGCTCTAACTTAAGGTGCATGTGTTGGGACATCTTCATGGAACACCTGCATGGACAGGCGTAGGCATGGAAGGCTCAGTCTTCACAGTGATCAGAACACTGTCTTTGGAGGTCTCTAGACTGATTGCAAGAGTGGGACACTACTGTCCCTCCAGGTGCTTTAGACTACAAAACCCACAATCCCCTACCATGGGCCAGGTTGGGTGGAGCTTTTGGGAGAGCCAAACACTCCCCACCGTTGGAGTAAGGAGACTCTCTGTCGGAATATTGATATATACGTGAAGGCTTCTTATAGATGTTCGAACAAACCAAGCAGGATTAAGGTTGCAGAGTCTTTATGACACTCAGGCATGAAGAGTCATTCTGTGGGATGGGAGACCTGGTCTGGCCCCAGTGTTACCAACTCTTTGGCCACTTTTTGCTTCTGGGCTGTTGGATTTGCAAACATGGACAGATGGCAATACCGTTTTTCTCCATCAAGGGAAATGGAACAAGCTTCATGGGTTGATTTGTATGAAGCCGCTTTTAAGGATACAGGAACAGAGCAGGCCAGTTTTTGGGAGGGGAGAATTCACTTGAATTTAAAGTACTTATGTATCATCAATGACATCCCCTCTCCCTTCAGCAACAAGCTGCCAAATTATAAACCTTTTGCTCATCTATTCTTTAGTCACATTCTTTGGCACAGTTCCTTCAAGTCAGGGTGCTCAAGTAGGTTGTCCTCAGGATTATATCCGAGAGCGTTTGTTTTTTTAAAAATGGAGCCAGTCAGCTACTGCCCTGAAACCAGGGTGGATAACAAACAATGATTTTTTAAATCAAATTGATTTAAAACATGATTTAAATAAAAAAGAGATGATTTGTTTGATTTACATCAAAAAACTCCAATTTATGAAATTTTAAATTGTGATCTAAATCAATTTGATGTGAAGGAAAGGCCATCAAATAAATCAAATCTACTCTGCCTGAAACCAAGATGATTCTCCTTACCTACTACACATGGAAGATAAATCATAGCTTTACTGTAAGTTCAGAATAAAAAGAAAACCCTGAAGTACTGAACAAAAGGAACTAAGAGCTAATACATGTTGCGACAGGCAATATGTTTGGGCCTGTGTTGCATAACTTAACTTGTGATGGTCATCTCTTCTGGACTCAGAGGTGGCGAAAAGGACTGTTTGGCTCAAATGGTGTTCTCTTGTGGGCTCAATAAAGGCACCAAGCAAAGACACGACCAAGGGAAAGCTCACAACTGGCAACCATTTAGGAATGTGAACCTGGGTTTTCCCCCTAGCCAGTCCACTATATTGCACCAGTGCCTTCTTTTCTTCCCAGAAAGACGGAGGCACCTAAGAAATGAACCACAGCTTCCTTAACCCTGGACCCTGGAGTGATGAGGGGCAATCATGGCTTGGTTAGAGCAGGTGTGTGAAGGCCACAAACAATATGGGAGAAGGGAAGCACATTGAGGCTTACCAGAACCAGACAATGTTGGAATATCACAAGATATAACATTCTACCCACTGTGGGTTAAAGACCTCACCTATCCCTTATAACCAATAAGGCCCTGTAAAGCTTTCTCTCTCTCCCCGCCCCCTTCACCCTTCGATGGGGCTGACTGACCGAGCGAGGCAGAGACTGTGCGTGCTTGCCTGAGTTTGTGAGCATTGCTTGAGCTGTCACTGTTTTTTATTCCCTTTACTGTTTGGTATGTTTTGTAAGGACGTCCTGCTTACCCTTTTCCTAAGAGAACTAGATAAAGATTATTATTTATATTTAGTCTCAATGTCTCAAACCTTTTTTCCAACAGGCAACACCAGAGGGGTACTTCAAGGTCTTGGGTTTTTCTTTAATGGACCTCTTTGAAAAGCTGCAAATAAAAAAGAGCAAGACAATGGTGAAGACATTGAGGCCAGCAGTGCAGTTCTAGGCAGATCTACTTAGAAGCAAGCCATGCTTTGTTCACTGAGACAAGAGAGTTGCTACCATGCCTTCGTCTATGGGGCTCTGGTCCCATTTCTCTTTCTTAAGGCCCCAGATTTATTCCCCCCAGCCCTGGATCTCCATTGGTGCCGATGGATGATTTTTCTCCCCACTCAGTTAATTGCCATGGCGGGGGGATTTTCAGGGGAGGCAGCCTAGCCATGCCCTTGCTTCCTAGTAAGAGTGCAGAACATTGCACTCGAAAAGAAAAGAACCCGATCCCAACTCACTAAACCACCATAGCCTGACTCTTCTGTAGCCATTTGTGCCATCTCAGGTAGCCATGCCGGAAGACTGCATCACCTTTATCAGGAAAATAATATTCAATCAGGCTGTTTGTAGTTGCTTTTTTCCTACGCTGGGAGTAGCAGCGATAGCGATGAATGGCCACAAGCTTTAATTTTTTTAATTTTTATTTTTAGATCAATGGATTAATTAACTCTTGCTAAACCTGAGCTTTGTAAGCTAGAAAGTGGCTTTCAGTATAAGGGATATCTTTTTAAATCCTGGTTTGTTCCCATAAGAAATACGAGGAGGAAAATGAATCTTAAAAGTTTTCCACCAAATCATGGTGCTCGGGGATAAACAGAGATGCTCCCAGCTCTGTACCTGTAGCGTTTGGTATTGATGAGCCAATGCACAAAATCCCTGGCTTTCAAATTGTCCAGATGTCGGGTAAAATCACTGGTGAAGGTGCCTTCGGAATGTCTCTTGACGTTTGAAGTAAAGCTCTGGGCACTTTCCCTTTCATAAGACTGCCACCTGTATGAGGGGTCAGGGATGGACAGAATTACATGCTCTCCCCCCAGTGACCACTATCTGTTTTTAAAAAAGCCTATCAAAGAACATCTACAATCAAATTAGTAACATGGCGCGAGCCAACCAGCATTAGATGCAGTACATAGGAAACCATCAAAGAGACAAATGATCTATTATTTCAGAGATGCATAGATCTTTTCATACAGATATGTAGACATAATAATTCTCAAAGATAGCAACAATTTTAGCACAAATGGTAAAGCCATAAATTAGCATGGCAAAATAGACCTCCAGGGTGTTAGTCAAGGGAGGTGGGGGCATTGCGGGGTAAACCACAGAAGCCTCTGTGCAAGGCCAGAAGACAAGCAGTTGTAAGATCGAATCCATGCGATGGAGTGAGCTCCTGTCGCTTGTCCCAGCTCCTGCCAACCTAGCAGTTCGAAAGCATCTAAAAATGCAAGTAGATAAATAGGTACCACCACGGTGGGAAGACAACAACATTCCGTGTCTAGTCGCACTGGCCATGTGACCATGGAAATTGTCTTCGGACAAATGCTGGCTCTACGGCTAGGAAACGGGGATGAGCACCGCCCCCTAGAGTCGAACACGACTGGACAAAAATTGTCAAGGGGAACCTTTACCTTTACCTAGGTGGTTAGTCAGATTTGGTATATGCACTAAGTCTGTTCCTTAGGTTTATTGAATAGTCAAAGGTTGTGGGGACTTGAATCCAACCTCTTTGTGGATTCCCTTTTTATATGTCATGTCATGTGAAAATAGGACTGTAATGATGACCTAAGCAAGGCATGATCATGTTACTACTTATATGGATTCGGAACATCCACCTTTTCTCAGGTTCTTCAAGTTCAAAATAAATAGCCAGTACATTTCTTGTCACAAGATGAAATAGTTTGGTTTGACTCTAGAAATTCTATTCAAGCTCAGCCACAGCCAATAAATGAAGATCTTAATTTATCTCAAAATAGCTAATCATGTTGCCTTTATTAATGGATGGGAAAAATCATTCAGATTTGTAGGAGTCAAATTTGAAAGTGTTGCAGATTCTGCACAGTCCTATAGGCAATGACCAAGAATCTAAGTTTCTATGATTTCTCACCCCAGCTTAGTTTTATTACATGAATCATCATTAAATGCTTCTTCTTACCTAGACTCATTGGTTGAATCTTTCAGGACCATCTGCCAGCCAACTGGGAGTAAGGCTGCCATGATCAGTCCACAAATACAAAGCCAATGTGTTGCTTCCATTAGGTCTTCTGCACCGAAAGGAATAAAAAAGTAGATAAGAAATAGAACCATAGCTTCTAATATATACACCTTCTTATCAAATTTAGGTGATGCTATAATACATTTTCTGGGTTTCACCTATAGCACAGCAAAGAATGAAGTCCCAGGATCTGAAATTACTCCAGATCATGGTTCTGATTTTGAACCCTATGATTTTTCAGTTGACACTGAGGTATTGGTTAGATATCCATTCAAGTCATACAAAAAATATGACATTCCATCCACTCCCCCAAATGTAACATATCATGTATGCAAAGACAACTGCCCCACTGCAAAACCTTTCTTATTCTTTCCCCTCTGCTCACAACACTGGATAATGCTTCAAAAACACTGTAAGACAGTGGAAACTCTTCTTTCACTGGTCTGTATTTTAAATAAAGGTTGCTTTCAATACGCTTATTTTACTCTTGCTGTAGGCTGCTTTGATCTCTCAGAAAGGTCTCGGTGAAATCTAGTAAGAAAGCATAGAAGTAAATATGGATATCTCACCATAAGAAACAATGCCTGCATTATACTCATTTTGATGATCTTAAAAGCCGCTATCTGCTTCTCTAGCTTGACTTAAGTATACTTGGCACCCTGATTGCCTTTCAAAGGAGTATGAAATTCTTACTCATTAGAATTCCACTCTCACTTTAGCAGTTCTGTGAAGATTTCCCAGCCAAAAGGTCTACTGCACTGACATTTCAGAAACGTCTCACTTTCTAAATAAAACAGCTGATCCCACCGAGGACAACATTTCATGTAGTCTTCCTTTTTGATTGAATAGAAGGTGAGGAAAGCGTACCCCTTCCCCTACTGTAGATGTAAGACTGACTGCCCGTGATTTTGTTAATGCCCCCTTAAATATTCAATAGATCCTTATGAATTGGAAGGGGATACTGAAAAATTATCACTTACCTTCCCAAAGATGCAGGTTCCTGCTTTAATCTTGAATCCTTTCTCTTTGTATGAGCTGTTTTGTGGCTTATCGCTATTCCTCACCTGTCCTTTTAAGCTTGTTAGTGGAATGCTAAAACATGACAGGGGTCGTTGGTGTTCTTGGTGCTCGTTGAGTGGGTCATTTGTGAATCATGGCCAGATTTTTTTCCCCTTATTCCTCCCCCCCTCCGCCCGAAATGTGGATGCATAGAAAAAGATGTCTCACTTGTGGAACAATTTGGAAAGACCTTCAGCAACGTTTTCTTCTGGGTCTTCAGAGAGATCAAGTCCAACACGAGCCTGTAGGATCGTTGTTCTATGCAAAGAGAAAGCAGGAGAAGAATTCATAACCCTGTTTTTTAAAAAATGACATTTTTCTGCACCTACTGGAAAAACAAGGTGAATCCCAGAATATTATTGTTGTTAACTTCAAAGGTCCCAGGATGAGGCTAGTAATTCATTTGCCAATTTACAGTATACTGATTGAATTTGAACTCAAGTGAAGTTCTTTGTCTTTCTTCAAGTGTTAAATTGTACACAAAATAAGTTGATCACTGGCGGCAGCTGATGGGAATGGGAGCCCCTGCATACATATACAAAGGAGATGTTGTCTATGTACCCTGTGAAATAAAGTGGAGGGAAAAATGAAAAGGGGAGATAAATGCCCAGAGTCCCTTATCTTATAAAAGAGAACAGAACCGAAGAAAGGGAGGAGCAAGATTAACCTGGCTGGGGAAGAAAATTGAGAGGCTAAGTCAAAATGGAAATGGATGTAAAGTGTGGGAAGGTGTTCTGAGAGAGGCCAAGGTGGATGACAGAACAGGGGGAAATGGACATGGGCAGATTTCGGATGCCTGAAGCAGGTATCATTACAGTCACAAAATCAAAGAAAGGGTTATGTCAGGAGATGGGGAAGAGTGGGCTAAACCCATAGACTCCTCCCATAGAAGGTCCTTTCTGTCCCCATAATAAGACAGCCTCATGGCACCATTAATTAAAACAGAGAGCTAATTCACCCTTTGGTCCCTGCTCAGAGGCTGGACCGGCAGTGACCATCTCGTTAAGTCTCGGTCCTAATGCGCAGGCAGCCACTCCAGTTCTGTCATTCTCTGACATTCTCAGCCTGCACTTTTCCTTCCGGATGTGCCCCGATTCTGCCAAAATAATTAGACTTTTCTGTACAATGGATTTTTATTTTAACGTGAATACCATTTTCAAAATATCACTGTCCAGATGGAGCACAAGAAGGCTCCCACTAATGAGGCAAGCAGCGTGGGACAAACAAACTGACCATCACAAGTACATGGGGCTCTCATTAGGGGCCACCTTTGGTTTGATTTTCCATTGTGCTTTTTTTTAAAACACTGGCTCCTTTGTTTATTATTGTTGCCTAATTAGGTTGCAGGAGCTCTGCTAACATCCTGACCCCTATAGTCATGATGGGTGTTAGAAAATAATAACTTTATGCTGACTAGTGTGTAGCAAAGATAGAGTTTTCTCCCTCTCTCTCTCTCATTCTCTCTCATCCACATCGACACCCCTTTTTAGGATTTTCCAGGTACAGAATACTCAGCAGGGGTTCACCATTCCCTTCTTAGATGTGGAAAAAAGAGCCAATGAAGGACTCCCAGGTTTTAGGGGAGACTTGGGACTTGACTCGGGACTCAAACCCATTTGTCAGAGCCGTGCTGTCAAGTCCCTATGGGCCTACCTTCAGAGTGTCCCCATGAGATCTTTGTTGTCTTTGCCCATTCTGGAACTCTCTCTCTCTCTCTCTCTGGCCTATCAGCTGGTCGGCATATGTGTGAGCGGAGACAGCAGTGCAGTTCCAGGACTGGAAGTTGGATCTGCCATCTTTGAAGATGGTGGTAGTGGTGGCGGTGGGATGTAGGCAGATGGCAGCGGAGGCAGTGGGAAGCCTAAGTTTGTGTCCCAGTACTGAGTCCCAAGCCTCGGGGATGGGGGTGGGGCAAGCAACTCAAGGCTTGGCACTCAAGGCTTGAGCACTCAGGACTTGCCAGCATCCATGCCAGCAACCAAAGTAGCAGTTCTGAGACATTGGGATGCTGTGCCTCTTTCTGTAGGCTGCAATCCTGTACCCATGCACCTAGGAATGCATCCCCAAAAAACTCAATAAAATTTGAGTCTGAGCAGATGTGCTGTACTATTACGGTGGCTTAAGTGGTATAGGCAACAGCTCCAAAGATCAGCATGAAAATTATTTTATTGCAATCCTTGTACTGTGTTTCCCAGAAAATAAGCTCTACTCTGGAAATAAGTCCTAGTGTGGTTTTTAAAGATTATTTTAATATAAGCCCTACTTCTTTTAACCCTCCTCTTGTTCGGCTCCCTCTTCAGTGCTGCCGGCAGGGCCACTGGCATGTTGAGGCAGCTGCTGCCGCTGCCCTCTCCTCAACTGGGCTTGCCACCTTCGGGCCCCGCCCCCCTCCACTGCCACCACTGCGGCCACCAATGCCGCCGTGGTTTTCTGCAAAATGAACCCAGCGCCTACCAGCCCCAATGGGAGCCTCAGTCCAGGCACCGCTGCTAGAGGAAATCAAGTCACCACTGTGGCGCCTCCTGGCAGCAGCACTTCTGGAGAAAGTGGCACCAAGTACATTTAAAGAAGAGGAAGGAGAATGGGAAGGGAGGGCTTCATTTGCGCATGAAAATCAATGACTACATTGAAAATAGAATGGAGAGAAATCAACGTGGAAACTTTGTGAAGCCTAGCCTGGAAGAGGTGGTGACTTGGGTGAAGAATTCACAGGATAAAATCACTGACAGCTGTGTTGCCAATGCACTACGAGTAGGCTACATGGACAAGAAGTGCTCATTTAAGGAGAGCTCTGTTGCTATTTGCGCATGAAAATCAATGACAACATTGAAAATAGAATGGAGAGAAATCAACGTGGAAACTTTGTGAAGCCTAGCCTGGAAGAGGTGGTGACTTGGGTGAAGAATTCACAGGATAAAATCACTGACAGCTGTGTTGCCAATGCACTACGAGTAGGCTACATGGACAAGAAGTGCTCATTTAAGGAGAGCTCTGTTGCTGGACATCAGAGATTGGGGCCAGTGGTTCTAGAGGAAATGGAGTCACAAGACATTCAGGCTTTAATTCAGGGTTTGGAGAGTTATGATGATGTTCCAGAAGCAGATGTCATGATTGTTTTTGAATAAATGTAGATTGTTTTACATGAAAAAAATTTAAAATAAAACATCCCCTGAAAATAAGCCCTAGTGCATTTTTGGAGCAAAAACTAATATAAGACCCTGTTTTATTTTCAGGGAAACAGGATAAATATTTTAACACCTGATAACTCAGTAGAACACACACATCCTTTAAATCAGGGGTTTTAAATTCAATTTACCTGGGGGCCGCTAGGGACAGAGTCTGGGCGAGGCTGGGCTACATCAGATTTTCCGCCAAGCGGAGCAAGAGCCCGAGGAAGCCGCCCAGGAGTTTCCTTAGCCGACAGACAGGCGAGGTGGCTGGCAGGATGCAGTTCTGGATGGAGGGTGCAAGAGGTGCTGTCTTGGGAGAGAGCCGGTGAGCGAGGCAAGGCTTTTTTTTACTCTTGACAGCAGAGGATGTGTGGGCACTTTGGGGGGGCAGGCAAGGCGAGGGCCACAAATGGCCCCCGGGCCGCATGTTTGAGACCCCTGCTTTAAATTGTTTAAACTTAAAGCAGAAAAATACAATGGCCTTAGGAAATTGTAAATAGATGACAATAGACTACAAATTGTAATGCACAGGGGAAGAGCTGTGACCTTACATAAATACATGTGCTTCCTAGAGACAGTTACCAAAAAAAGAATTTTGTGTCCATAGCAAGAGCCAGTTTAAATCCAAACCAAAATTACTGTATACTTCTTCCTTTGGGGATGGGGGTTTGGGAAACAAAGTTCCTTTTATAACTGAGGGAGGTACAAATGGTGAGGAAAGTTGATATGTGCCTTCAAGTCGGAACCGACTCACAGGGCTCCTAAGAGGGCATTCAAGGTAAGTAAGATATTTAAGAAGTGGTTTTACCAGTTCCACACCCCCAGTGAGTTATCATGGCTGGGGATTTGAACCCAGACCTCCTCAGTCCTAGTCTGCTACGTTGTCCACTACACTACACTGGGTATCAATGAAGAAAAACTTATCTTTTTTTCTCCACAAGATGTCTCCACAGGACAACAATAATACGGAGCATATTCTGGAAACGTACAAATACCTGCACAAACCCAATAATAAATTGGTTCGGGACGCTTCCAAACTACCTTAGAGCAGATCAGTCCCAACGTGGGGATTAAAGTCAGATTTCAGAGTATTCCAATAACCGCAGTCCTAGTCTGCTACGCTGTCCACTACACTACACTGGGTATCAATGAAGAAAAACTTATCTTTTTTTCTCCACAAGATGTCTCCACAGGACAACAATAATACAGAGCATATTCTGGAAACGTACAAATACCTGCACAAACCCAATAATAAATTGGTTCGGGACGCTTCCAAACTACCTTAGAGCAGATCAGTCCCAACGTGGGGATAAAAGTCAGATTTCAGAGTATTCCAATAACCGTACTTCCTGGATTCCCCTCCCCAGTGTCTAGTGTGGGAAATGGTGAAAGGAAAAAGATGTGGAGTAATTACTGGGCCAGTCTGATTTGTAGGTGAAGACGTCTCATCTTGTGTCTGTGTCAAGCAATTTGAGGTGCCAGGAACCAAGTCAACGTCACTAAGCAGCAGGACTTTGGAAAGAGAGCCCGAGTAGAGAGCTTCTCTTCTAAACATCAGGAAAATGAAACAGGGCTCGTGGTAAGAGTGCTGCTGGGGCAAGAAAGAGTTTGATAGACGTACTCAAACTAGACACAAGCTATTCAGATTCGTATCCCTGTCCTGCCTCCTTACTGGAGTGGTGCGTGGGGAGGCGAGGAAGTGCCATCCAGGCTCCTTCCTAGATTAGAATAACAACAAAGGACCCAATGCTGTGTGGCAGCCAGTGAGTGGGCCAGCCAGTTCTGGGGGGAGGAATGGACCTCAGTGGTACCTGTGGTGCTGCAATTTCTATTTGTATCCCTGGGGATGCAAATACAAATAGCCCATGTCTAACTCAAATCTTAGAATCAGATTGAACATAAAGATGTGAAAGCAACAGAAGGAGGCATGACGGATTATCAAACCTTTACAGCCCCATTTTGGAATCAGTGCCTAACACTAATAACTGGGAAGTAGCACAAAGTCTAAGAAACATTAACGAATTAATTAGGGGAAGAGAGATGAAGACATGATGAACTGCATCCCCTCCACCCCCCTCGCCCTGTTAGCAGACAAGATATTTTCTGGTGCAAACAGTTCAGTGGTTTTATGTGAATTGCTTTTAC